ATTGTGTCTATTTTCTGACCTCATTGGCATAATTTTTGTCTCATTTAAGCAAAAGCACAGATGAATTTACCAAAAATTAATTTTAGACTTTATATCTTGTCATTTTACATCTTTGCAAATTTACATTTACACATTTATGCATTTGACAGACATTTTTATCCAAAATGACTTGCACTGCATGTTATCAGTTCATGCATTCTTTGAGAATTGAACTCATGACCTTGACAGTATTATTATTGCAATGCTCTACTGTTAAATGCATCTTGATTTAAGAATCATTTAGATGACTGTATTGGAAAACAAAAATACTGAGTAAGAACATCACTTTATACAGTGTAATTATTTTACACCAAATATGTCATGCCAAATGTTTGAATAATGTCAATGTTCACCTTACAAACCTAGTTCTTCTACGAGCATTTAACCCCTTGTCAAAGGTACAAGAGAACACTAATTTACTCAAAAGTCCAGTCAAAGACTGTCTGATTCATATTGCATGCAAAAATGACAAACACTGGCTGACAATGCCAGCTCAAATCTGACTGATTGTTTTTAAAAACAAAACTCTGACGAATCGCTTTACAGTTCGCTCAGGTTGTCTCTTCCTTATAAGTGGGCAGTTCTTGGCTAGAATAAGCTGATAACAGTCAAATGCTAAACAAAAATACTGAGTAAGAACATCACTTTATACAGTGTAATTATTTTACACCAAATATGTCATGCCAAATGTTTGAATAATGTCAATGTTCACCTTACAAACCTAGTTCTTCTACGAGCATTTAACCCCTTGTCAAAGGTACAAGAGAACACTAATTTACTCAAAAGTCCAGTCAAAGACTGTCTGATTCATATTGCATGCAAAAATGACAAACACTGGCTGACAATGCCAGCTCAAATCTGACTGATTGTTTTTAAAAACAAAACTCTGACGAATCGCTTTACAGTTCGCTCAGGTTGTCTCTTCCTTATAAGGGCAGTTCTTGGCTAGAATAAGCTGATAACAGTCAAATGCCTGGCTATTCAATACTAACCACTAAACATGTCCTCTAACCAACTCTACTTCACATGAGGTGCTTGTTCCTTTTGGAGTTCTGACTTATTGCTTTCAGGCGGTCTCACTGAATTATTCTAGGTATATTTTAATATTAAGATTTGAATATTAAGTCTTGAGTGGGCCGCATCGGAGCTTGAATCCCAGAGTTCAGCCCTGAAAAAGCAGCCAGTCATGGTGCCTACAGAGCGTCTGGAATCTGTTCAGCTGGCTTTACCAAACAATAGCTGGATTATCCAGGAGAGCCACTGAACTTATGTCTGGACAAATCAAAGCAGACCTTCACTCTCACACACACACACACAGACACACACACACATAATGAAACTTAGAAAAACAATGTCTGTATCTGCTATAAGTGCAGAGCATGTTTATTCATTACTTTTCTTTACCAAGCACTTTAAATGGGTCCTATTATGCTTTTTCACTTTTTTAAATTTTAGTCAGTGTGTAGTGTGTATGTTTGGACATAAAAAAGATCTAGAAAGTTACAAATCTCAAAGTCCACTCCAAAGGGAGATATTTCGTTTTTTAAAAATCCCTTTTCAAGAACTACAACGAACGGCTCGTTTGGACTACAGTGTTTGTTTTCCGGGCTTTGTGATATCACAAAGCGGCTCATTGGAATATCATTACAAATAATTCCCGCCTACAGAAATTGGAATGGTTGGGGGGTGGGGAGGGCGAGGTTGTGGTTAGAACGCTTGGTTGAGTGCGTGCATCAGACGAGACGACGAAGAAGAAGTGCTGCTGCAGAGTTAGTGCATCAGAGAAAACCAAGAAGAAGAAAAAAAAAAAAGTTATTTTAAGGGTCAAAACTATATATAGAGAGACTGAGACAATATTTATATAGATATGTATATAGATCTAAGTTTAATATATAGAGCAGCATTATTTTTGTATAATTGATATACCATTATAGTTTTTGCTAATATGTTGAATTTAAAAAGTTTAAAAGTTGTTGAGCATAATTGTATTTGACTTTAGTTCTTGTTTATATGTACATATATTAGCTGTTATTAATTTTTTGAAGCTGAAATCAATAGTTTTTATGTTTGATTTCATTAACATTTATTTTATTTCAAGTGACCAAAATGTTTTTGTTTAATGGTTATATTTTAGTTTCAGTTTTAGTTATATAAGAACCCTGCTATAGAGCTGTAATAAATAGATAATTGGTCTCAATGTGAGGCTTTTAAAATATTAATCTGTTCGTTTCAGCAGCCAGACATTTCGGGAAACCTGTCTGAAAGTCAATATTTTGCATTCATATTTGGTGCAGAAACTACAAGCCTCTGGTCCATCTCTTTCTACCTGATCTGGTTAAAACAGCCATTCAGCCACACTAACATATTCTCAGGATTGAATAAAACTTTCATAAGCCCATTAAATACATTTCTAGTCGACTACACATTTTACAGCCAGACATCTGTGCTGCCAGAACCTGCTTCTCTCCAGATCATGTTTGATGTTTACATTCGCCAGATGCTTTTTCTGGTGACGCGCTGCACAAAAACAGTCTTTTTGGACACACAACTGATCGATGCTTCGCTGTTGTTTTTCTTTCCCCTTTCCTTTTTTTTTGGGGGGGGATCCTGAAGAGGGAATACCCTGGCCTTGTTTGTCTGCAGGTGATATATCTGCCCTCTCCTGGTCACAGCTGTGACACTCCAGCATGTAAAGTCAGAGACATGCCTTCAGGGACACGCACTCATTATTTACCGCTCACAAAGACGCGGCTTTCCATTTCTAAAGCAGATGCGCTTACATAGAACTCCTACTGCATTCTAGCTCAGACTAAAACCTGGTTCTATATGTGACCCTGGAGCACAAAACCAGTCATAAGTAGTGACATATTTGTAGCAATAGGCAACAATACATTGTATGGGTCAAAAATGCCAAAAATCATTAGGATATTAAAGGGGTCATATGATGCGATTTCAATTTTTCCTTTCTCTTTGGAGTGTTACAAGCTCTTGGTGCATAAAGAAGATCTGTAAAGTTGCAAAGACTAAAGTCTCAAATCCAAAGAGATATTCTTTATAAAAGTTAAGAGTCAGCCACGCCCCCCTAAAACAGCTCATTCTAACATTGAGATGATACATATGGGAGCATCGCGAGGAGCAGCGCGAGCATCCCGGTGGAGGACAGCATCGTGCGGGAGGATGGAGACGGGACACGGCGAGCAGGTGATGGACGCGGAGCGGCTTCAGACGCAGAGGATGGCAGAGGAGGAGCGCGGACAGACGGCGAGAAACGCGACAGGCGCTGCGCAGCGGCTCTGCTGCATGGAGGACGGGTGAGGATGATGCTGATGCTGATGCTGTCCGGAGCTCAGGGATGCGGATGCTGCTGCTGCTGCTGCTGCTGCTGCTGGAGATGATGATGGTGGGCCATCAATTGAGAACATCGTCTTTAAAGTTGTTCAAATGAAGTTCTTAGCAATGCATATTACTAATCAAAAATTAAGTTTGAATATATTTACAGTAGGATATTTACAAAATATCTTCATGGAACATGATCTTTACTTAATATCCTAATGATTTTTGGCATAAAAGAAAAATGGATCATTTTGACCCATAAATGTATTGTTGCTATTGCTACAAATATACCTGCAATACTGGTTTTGTGCTCCAGGGTCACATTTATAGATTTGTTCCTGTCTTGACTATAGTTTCTTGAGATCCAGTCCACTAATGAAACTTTTACATTTACTTCTTCTGTAACCCAATAATGAATTTACATATCCATTAAAGTACATGTTTTGTTAATGTGTCTATGACCATTTAATGTGTGATTCACATAAAAACGCATCTAGGTCACATTTCACCTCAAAATAAAATGAAAATAATACTTTTTTTTTTTTTTTTTAAAGGCCAGGGTTATTATAGTTAAGTAAAACTAAAACCATAGGGGGAAAAAAAATTGTGTTACTTGAAATAAAAAAGGATAACTGAAATAAAATAAAATATAATAAACATTTTATTAAACGTTTGTCATTTTAATCTAGTTTAACTTGATCTACTAAGTACTTATATAATTAAAATTGAAATAAAATTAATAAAAAAGTAGACATATTTAAATAAAAAGACAAAAACACACTTTCCAAAAACAAAATGACCAAAACTTTACAATTTTTAAATGAAAATAAAAAATAAATATCAATAAAAACGACAACAGTATCTCAGTCAGTGATACTAAAATAACACTATTTAAGACAAATGAAGTCCTTTTTTTGTCGCATTGAGACATTATGACAATGAAGCATTTGTTTTAAATGCATAAAACAATGCATTACAGTGCACTACAAATATATAATTTGTATAATATATCACATATAATGTTTTTTATGGGTGACATTAAAGACAAGTTTTGTATGATTCACACATTTCACTGTGTCATGGATATTTCTATTAAATAATTGGTTACATGTTACCCATTACAGACGTGCACTGTTTATCTGTCATCAACAGGTGATCGGCATAGTGCTGCTCATTTTGATCTGTTTCGGACTGGTCGTGTATGTGATCAGAGAAAGCTGCAAGCAGGAGCTGGAAACTCAAGATGCCAATGTAGCAGAGATGACGCTCTTCAGCTCCAGCTGATAGACTCCCTTCCTCACCCGACTGCTTGTGATCAGTTGACAGTCATTTGGACTCCTATACATTTACACTAAAGGGTGATCAAATCACTTACTAAACTTGTCTGTGTAATGTTATTTCAATGTTTCTCATGACCATGTAAAGCCAGTGAATGCTACAACTCATAGGATACTCATTTTCATACAGAAGAAATAATACAGCCTATGTATTTTAGAAAAATAGTTTTTTTAATATTGAAAAATTATGCCAATGAAGAAGTACTGTAATGCAAATATATATATATATATATATATATATATATATTCTACACATGTTTTAAATATATAAAAATAATGAACCATAGTGTATTAAAAATTCTCTATTCTATACATGTATAAAAAAAATTTATGCTCAAATAATCAAAATAAATTAAAAAATACAATAAATACTAGAATACTAAAATAAATTGTATTTTGTTTTGTTTGCAACATATCACAGATGCTGTCAATTGAGACGTTATGAGAACACATTTGGTTAGTGCTGTTAAAAGTGCAAAACTGTACCTTCAAAGGCGACACCGAGGTGGCCTAAATGCAATTTTTGCACATTTTATTCTGCGTAATATGAGCACTGTAAATGTAAAGTGTTACCCTATGTTAAGATTTTTATATGAATGACAGGTTCCATTAGTCAGGACTGATGATTATCACCATGACTAATGGTCCTTTCCCACTAAATGACTTTCATGAGCGGACATTTACGTCCAGCCATCACTGTCTGAAACACAAACAGCAGCGGACAGTGTGTTGCGTTTGACTGACATGATTATTGCTGTTATTAAGTGCCTGTTTTACAACTGCCTCACATCAACCTGTTTTAGGAAGTAGTAACTTGAAAACAATTAATTTTACAGTCATAATTCATACACCAGCACAACAAAACAGAGTTGCAATGTAGTTTGTGTAAGGATTCAGGAAAGAAACATAAAATGTAAAAGACTACAATTAAGAATATTGAAGGGCTTTCTACTTTTCCATATCCCAGCCAGATGCAAATACCTTCATTAGTTCATTTTCTATGGAAGCTTGTTTCCACCGTGAGATTAAAAAATAAAAAAGGTAATTGCAAATTTTTCATCTAACAATTCTATCTTTTTTCTCTGAATTGAGAGAGAGAGAAATTTGCAATTGTGAGGGAAAAGTCCGAATTATGAGTTCATATCGCATAATTCTGCCTTCTCAGAATTGAGAGGGAAAAAAGTCTGAATTGGGAGATATAAACTCAGAATTCAGAAAAAAAAATGCAAGATGGAAACTTGAATAGTGACCAAAAAAAAAAAAAAGAAGTCTGAATTGTGAGATAACCTTAAAAGGTGGGGGGAGAAAACAATTGCAGGATGTAAACTCAGAATTGCAAGAAAAACAATTCTGCATTGTGAGATGAAAAACTTGCAATTACCTTTTAGATATAAACCCTGCGTGTTACCCACACTGAATTCTGAGATTGATTTTTCATCCCATGGCAGAAATAAGCTTCCACAATTTTCAGCTCAGCTCACCCATCATGCAATTAAAACTACCATCAATATAACAAGGCCTCACTCACAAAGTGTTTGTTTTACTATCTTTCTGAAAGGGATTATCCAGAAGAATTCTTTGTATGTTATTTTATTTTTATACTACAGTATATCTGAGTGATTTCCTGTATTTGAATTTTACACTAGACTCAGTGTATAAGTCTGTAGACATTATCTTTTGTATCAGGAGTGTTAACTGTACAAAAAATATATATATATATAATAATATGCAGTGCTTCCTCGTGTGCAAAACTACTCTTTAATTGACTGTCAACCAGACTTATGTTATATTTTAAAACTCTGTTATCCTTGAAATCAGCTGTAATTGCTTTGAAGACATGGTGCGGCGATTAAACGCTGTTAGACATTAAAGCTCTTTTTGTCATTACAGACAGTAACAGCAGCACAAGTAGGTTGAGTGTCACCTCTATTAAACCAGAGTCCTGCAGGTCACTGTAATACATCAGCGTAATTACAGACGGGACAAAACCGCGCTAATGATGTGCTAATGGTTTTTGGAAGGGATAATACTGGAAGAAATCATTTCAATCTGAAGGTCAGCAAGAAATTAAATAGACTATTGTGTTAAGGTGTTAATGTGAATGATTCATCAGTGCGTGTTATTCTGAAGAAATGCTCTGACTCCAGGAAGCGAGGGCTGCTATGTTAAAATACTGTATAACATCAACCAACAGCCAAAAATTGCTCGAGCAGCGAGCAAAGCAATGCAGGTGTTTAGTAGTTGGATGTAAAAGTGAACAAAAGAGTCTTCATTTCATAGCCACTGAGGATGCAGTGGATTTGTTTTTTTTTAATGGTGACGCAAACACACAAAAAACAGAAGAGAGGGGCGGGGTGAGCTGTAGCTCATTAGCATTTAAAGTGGCATGCACCGAAACAGGTCGCTGTAAACAGAGCTGTTTTTGACATGGTCAGTGTATAAGTCTGTAGACATTATCTTTTGTATCAGGAGTGTTAACTGTACAAAAAAAATAATAATAATATGCAGTGCTTCCTCGTGTGCAAAACTACTCTTTAATTGACTGTCAATTGGGTTTAATTGGGTGTTTTTTTACACGACCATTGAGGAATTTTAATTACATGAATTAAAATAAATTTCACAAAGACCCTAAAGAATCATACCAACTTGTGAAAAATGGGCATCCGATGTCCCCTTTAATCTTGTTTTGCTCGTTTTCTTTTTGCACATAACCTACAACATAAACATCTGATCACTTTAAATATAATATAAACGGTAAAAGACACAATAAACACTACGACATCAACACTGTAGTATGAGTACCAGGGCATTTTATAAGAGTCAGTGCGCAGGTGAGCAGCGCCTCTGTGTCTCATGACAAACTCAATCCAGAAGAGGACGCTAACTAACGGATTTACTGGTGTGTCTCTATGCAGACTGGACAGTTTCTGCACGTTCTTCCTGTAGGATGGCTCTGTAAGCACTTCTTGTAACGCATCTTTAAATATACTTCTATCTATGTTGGCAATGTCCACAACTTTATCCACACCTCTATGTCTCATTTTTGAAAGGTTATCATCCTGATCGAAAACAAGCGGTAATCCGACTATAGGAACGCCATGATAAATGGCTTCAAAAATACCATTAGTTCCTCTATGAGACACAAAAACCTTGGTCTTTGCATGTCCTAAGAGATCATTCTGCGGTAACCAGTTAACCAGTAAAGTGTTGTCGCCCAAAGTCGACGGCTGCGCTCCTGTGTATCTCCAAATCACTTTTTGGGGAAGCTGAGCAAACGCAGCTGCTATTTCATCAGCTATGTCAAGAGGAAGTTGGCCAACTAACGTTCCTAGAGACATAATAATAACACCATGCTCTCCAGAGCTCTGCGAAAAGTCCTCCAGATCCCTCGGAAGCTCTTTTGCAGGTTTGCATTGGAAACCGCCAACGTAAATGACATTTGGTATAGTCGGGCGAGGAAATTCAAAAACAAAATCCACCCTCATGAGCCAAATATCAGCTGCTTGGAGTAACTCAAAATAGTGCGAATCAGGACCAAAATATCGGTCACACAAGGTGCTGTAATGAGGACCAACGATGCGCTTGTAAAGGAAAAGCCGAATGACGTAAAACAACACATTATACGTTCGCTGAAATGCACTTCTCCATGCACAGTCCACTGGACGTTAAAAATGAGAGGTAAATTCATATAGTGTGCGAGAACAACACCTCCTCCGTTTGCTGGATCGGTCAACATCAAGTGAAAGTTGGCCTGTTTGATTTGTTCCAAAAGCTCAGGATCTTTCTCGATAATATAGATCACCATTTCGCAAATCTTCCTGTGCATTTCGGAAAATTTATCCTTGAGCTCCATGTCCAATCTGAATCTGGTCCATGATGTTCCTAACAGTGCACCTTTGTCAGTGTAGATGCCTTATTTAATGTTTTAGGGCATGTCCAGTCTTTACAGTGGAGTTTTATATTTGTCATCAGTGTATAACCATTAAATATTGTGATCCATCAAGTGCACTACACAAAAAAATTAAATACAGTTTATAAGTATATGAAACATCTTATAATCAGTACTGATGTAAAAAAAAAAATATATATATACTGTATATATATATATTATATAGTAACACAGTACTTTTTAATTTACAAGAGAATATCTGAGTTACTTTTTCAGATAAGTAACGCAAGTTACTTTTGTTTCCAATTTATTGACTGACAGCTCTGGTGTTGCCATGCTGACAGAAATCAGATGTCGTCACTGTAGTTCTAAAATAAATATGAATATGCATTAATTCATCTCACTCACAAAAAACACAGATTCAGTATTCCTCAAAATGAATAAAAATAATGCAACTCAGAATATGACGCAAACCTGCAATAATTAAATGTTAAACAACACAAATATCCTTTATGTATTTAATCCCATTCTATTTGTTTCTGAGCTTCGATGATCCAGTTCAACCGTACTAATAAGCACAAATTACTCTATGAATGAATGAATGAATTGTTGAAATGTCTTCTTCTGCATTCTACTGTACTTTCCCTTCAGCCTGAGGCGCATTCATTTCACTTTTGGTGTTAAAAGGCTTTTATATTTGCCAAAAATAGAACTTTTTTATTTTAAAAACAAACAAGCAAGCCCTGTCCAGATTTAAAAAGTAACGCAAAAGTAACGTACCGCATCACGTTCCATAAATAGTATCTAAGTAACGTAATTAGTTACTTTTTTATGGAGTAACGCAACATTGTAAAGTATCAGCTCAGCTCTCTCACTTTCACTGTCTCCACAAGTCTTTGTTTTTGAAGGGAAAACACTGTGCATTTCATAGTGTGCTCAGCTGCACAGAGCCAAATACAACATTAAAAACCACAGTCCAGACAAACAACGACTGGATGCTGTTTGGCGAGGCTGAGAAACATGGAAGCTCATTTCAGATGACACGATCATTTTTTTCAAGAATCACAATCCAGAACTAAGCTTGTCCTCTCTCTTGGATGTGTGTAAAAGCTGTTATTTGTTTTTTAAGCAAATTAAATCTGTGAACTTACCAGCTGAACAGAGAGCGGTGAGCTCGTGAGAGACCCGCCTCTCTGTTTGGGTGGAAGGAGGCAGAGCTCATGAATATTAATTAGGTCATGCCCGTGGTGATTGGATACTGTCTTGGAGCGTCAGTACAAGCGTCATTACTATTCATAAGCAATAAATCAATTTTAGTCAGCGCACAATAATATCATACAATACGGTAGTTAGCTCAAACAAACAAACAAAGGCTACCCAAAGATGAAGAAAAAAACCTAATAGTATTTTGAAGAAATACCCCTGCATGAATATTAAGTTCAAGTTAGCTATCAGCAGCTTTAGGTAACACTTTATTTTAAGGTGTCCTTGTTACACGTTACTTGCTATTAGTAATAACAATAAATGATGCATAATTACATGCAAGTAACCTTAAGCCAAACACTAATCCTAACCCTAAACATATAGTAAGTTGGCCTACATGTAGTTAATCAATATTACTCAGTACTTAAACGTAAAATTACACTGTAACAAGGACACCTTAAAATAAAGTGTGACCCAGCTTTATTGTGGTTTTACCACTTATGTATTAAATTAGTTTTTTTGTGTGAACTCTCTTCTCCAAATACAGTATCTAATCTACAATCTAATATGATATTTTAGTAATATCCGTTGGGTGTGAAGTGAACACAATAAAACCACGTTGACATTAAGTTTCAGGTAGATTTGACTTTTTAATTAAAGGTTCTGTTAGCCAAGTTAGTCACAAAAGGTCATGTGTGTTAAATGATCTGGATCTTTTTTCAGGCTAATAATGGTGAAAATGTTGGGAACACTTTCGACTATGCCTCAATAAACTCCTAATTTGCTGCTCATTAATAGTTAGTAGGGTAGTGGTTAAGTTTAGGTGTGGGGTTTAATGATTAAGGGATTTAAAATATGGTCATGCAGAATTAGGCATTAATATGTGCTATATAAAAATACTAATAAACAGTCAAGACAAGCTAGTTAATAGTGAGAATGGGTTCTTCAAATAAAGTGTTAGTGGTGTATAAAGTACCTGAAAGCCATACTCGAGTAAAAGTACAGATATCTTACCAGAAAATGACTTTGGTAGAAGTTGAAGTCACCGTTTAGAATATTACTGGAGTAAAAGTCTTAAAGTATGTGAGATTTATTGTACTTAAGTACGGAAAGTATTTTTAAAATCTTAAACATATTTAAGTATTGAAAATAAAAGTACAAGTAAATGCAAAATGGAAAAGAAGCAAATACATAAATGTTCATACACGGCTTGAGTAGCAAGATTGTCTTCAGTTTGAACGCTTTCTTCCATTTTGTATTTTTGGGTAAGAATAAGAAGCACTTCATCCGGTACTTAGTGTCTTTCATTCCAACATAAGAAAACATTTCTGGAATCTGCATCTGAAATAGCATTTAGATGTATTTACACAGTTTATGTATCTCAGAGAGGACATGGATGCATTTAAACTGCAGTTACAGATGCATAAATGGCCTAATGGCCTAATGTAAAAAGGCCTAATGCTTTGTTTTTAACATAAAACGTTGAATACTGATATTTGAAATAATTAAAAAAATAGTCGAAATGTGAAATTAAAACCGCCAGTAGCTGGCAGCGAGTGACTGTTAATGAGTGAGTCATTGAGATTCAACCGATTCATTCAAACAACTGATTCATTCAGAAACAAAGCATTTGACTGTGTTAATGAGCGAATCACTGAATCATTTATTCAACCGATTCATTCAAACAACTGATTCATTCAGAAACAAAGCATTTGACTGTGTTAATGAGCGAATCACTGAATCATTTATTCAACCGATTCATTCAAACAACTGATTCATTCAGAAACAAAGCATTTGACTGTGTTAATGAGCGAATCACTGAATCATTTATTCAACCGATTCATTCAAACAACTGATTAATTCAGAAACAAAGCTTTTGCCTGTGTTAATGAGCGAATCACTGAATCATTTATTCAACCGATTCATTCAAACAACTGATTCATTCAGAAACAAAGCATTTGACTGTGTTAATGAGCGAATCACTGAATCATTTATTCAACCGATTCATTCAAACAACTGATTCATTCAGAAACAAAGCATTTGACTGTGTTAATGAGCGAATCACTGAATCATTTATTCAACCGATTCATTCAAACAACTGATTCATTCAGAAACAAAGCATTTGACTGTGTTAATGAGCGAATCACTGGATCATTTATTCAACCGATTCGTTCAAAAAGTAAAGACCGTCCATTGCTCAGAGACGCAAAACAGTGCTGTGATCTTTGGTTTGGAACTATTTTCGTTTGCAAAATTGAGCAAAAACAAGCAATATTATGTCTAAAATGTAAGTCACTTATTGCTTTACTGAACTTGTATAAAAAGATTATTAAATGTTTTCATGCTGATATATTCAGAAAAACTACTCTTTGTGTGATATATATTAACTATATTAAATTATATAAACCAGCATACAGAACCATTTTTTCCGTCTACAATTTTAAATGCCTTGAATTTTGAGTTTTAATAGACTAATAAATCATGTGCGTGCACACTCTGTGATATACTTGATAATGTCAGATCGCACATCATTACAACAACACTTACCATATTATCACAGATGATGCTGTGTCCCACAGCACACCTCAGACCCGACTTGAGTGGAAAATGAATCATCCCTTACAGTCACATTGAGTGTCCGGATTTTTCTCCTCGTCTTTGCTTTCTGCTATTCCATCAATTTTAGTTTGACAGAAACACATCATATGGGATTTAAATGACAGAATTATCAGACTTAGTAAATTATCAATTTGCACACGATTTTGAATGATGCTAGAAAAATCAGACCTTTATTAAAAATAAGCATTGCATTGTCTTACAAACTTGCAAAAAGCATACAGAATATAATGCTAATGAATTGAGTAAAGTTCAGAGCTGCTTTTATTAAGAATATCAAACTCTGAAAATTAAAACACAAACTGTTACATGGCTGCTACATGAAGGCATAAATGATCCTGTAATTTAATTTGCTGACTTACATCAGAGAAGTCAAACAACAGCAAATCAGTCATGTGATTGATTTCCCTCGAAATATCAAAGATATTCCTTTACTTAGATACAGGTTTAAGTTGAAGAAAAGGAGTGTCGTCGTCGTCATCGTCGTCATCATTATCATCTCTTCAGAGTTTCTGGCTGCTGATGGGACTGAAGGGTTTGGACGTTTCATCCGCCATGAAGGCCTCGATTTCCTCCACGGTTCGAGGAACGCAGGTCAGCAGCTCCACGCCGTCAGCCGTCACTGCGATATCATCCTCAATACGCACCTGAGAGAGAGAGACACACACGCACGAAGATCAATACTCATAAAAATAAAGTCTGAACTTTCAGAAATGTATATTTATAATATCTGAAACAACAGAACTTTAGTGCTTTTGGTTAAAAAGTTACATGAAGATAAAACATATATATAAACACACACACACACACACACACACACACACACACACACA